AAGCAATCTATCTACGTGGCTTTACAGAAAGATATTCTTAGGTTTTTTCGGTAAAGTCACGTAGGTAAAAAATTTTAATTAACAAAAGTAAAATAAAAATAAAATAAAAATCACGACGTTTCGGAGGCAACACAAGCTTCCATATTCTTAGGTTTTTTCGGTAAAGTCACGTAGGTAAAAAATTTTAATTAATAAAAGTTCAATGAAAATAAAATAAAAATCACGACATTTCGGAGGCAACACAAGCCTCCGTCTTCAGGTGGAACGTTGGAAGCTTGTGTTGCCTCCGAAACGTCGTGATTTTTATTTTTATTTCTTATTTATTAATTCTAATTTTTATTAAATAAAAATTAGAATTTTTTCACCTACGTGACTTTACCGAAAAAACCTAAGAATATGAATCCTTGCAGTCACGAAAGCTTCAAATCTAGAATTTGCAGAAAGACCCAAAGAACATGAATTCCCGCAGTCGCGAAAGCTTTAAGTCTACAAAGTAATTGTTCGGCTCACCAATTCATCACTTGCCGTTTGAAACTGGGAAAGCTATAACAGCCAGTCCCAAATGATAATCCGCTCCGTGGCCTTATCATACACTGTCATCCTCCGAGGGCGGCGTTACTGATGAATGTGTCGAGTGGAGAAAACTTCACGCGGCTGCGCAAAGCCAAGAAGAGGGCGGCTACTTCAGTTTGAGATCGCTTCCAATAGCCGTGCGCTAAAATGAAGAAAAAACATCGTTTGTGAAAGCCAGGTCGCTCCTGAAAAGGAGCTACGTAGGTCATCGGGGGCCTGACCTGGTAAAATAACAAAAAAACTGTTGCGTTGAGTGCAGAGCAGCAATGGATTCTGCTGCAATGCCCTCTGCGGAGGCTGTGGCACCTGTCTTTCGCGCAGGGCAGCCACGCCCGTAAAGGCGCAAAGATTAACGCTCAAACTCTTAGTTTTTTCGGTAAAGTCACGTAGGTAAAAAATATGAAACTAAAATGAATAAAAATAGCAAATCTGGCTGTGACGGTCCACCTGATGCCTCCGAAACGTCGTGATTTTTATTAGGTTATTTTTATTAATTTTAATTGAATTTTTTTACCTACGTGACTTTACCGAAAAAACTAAGAGCATGAATCCTTGCAGTCACGAAAGCTTCAAATCTAGAATTAACGCTCAACCCCACGGAGCTTCCACGATCTGGCGATGTCGGGCACATTCTGGGCGATTCGGCGACGCTGACCGAATGGGTTTATACAAAATGGAAATAGGAACGGGGATTTTTTTCACTCTTGTTTTTTGGTCACGGGAGGTGAGAACACCGATGTTTTTTGGCTGACTGGGCCTGGGGGCTTCAGGAAGGAGGTCATTCACCCGTTAGCTATTGCAACCCTCTTTAAGGAAACATTATCCCGAGTTAATTTGTTTTGCTTAAAACGAACATCCCCAGCTCTTATGCTGTAAACTCTTGATTTCCACTTGCACATCTGAACTGCGCTAGGGCCAGGCTTTCCCGGGCCGTGCCGTGTCGTGCCAAACCATGCCATGGCCTTTCTCCGCACGTCCGATGAAGCACGGCTGGCTACGTACGGCGCGAAAGAAGTTCAACGTACACACACACACACACCCAGCCCGCTGCGGCTCAGGAAGCCCCCAGGTTGTTTTTCCACTGCAGAAACCAACCGAGCCGTGCCGCCGACGTCACGCGCAGAGACCGAGTCTCTTATCCCCCCCCCCCCACCCCGTGCCGACCAGTGGCCCCGCATGGCCCCCCAACCCAGACTCGGATGTCTCCTCCAAGGGGCCGCATCGGCACAACAAAAATAGGCAGTGGAAAAACCACCCGTTCCGCTTGCACTTAGACGCTTGCCCAACGGAGAAAAGAGGCACTGGAGAGAGACACGCTCGTGGGCACAAAGTCTGATGCTTCCTCCGACGATCGCAACGACTTTCCAATCGACTTTCAGGAGCGCCCCACCGAAAATCGCTCCAGACGTGCCCACCGCCGCCAAGCGTCTCAAGGAAGACGACTGCGATGCGACGTCGCTGCTGCTGCTGCTGCTGCCGAACCCGAAAGTGACTTTCCCAAGTCTATCTTTCTCTTTTCGATTTAAAGCTTTCATGACTGCAGGGATTCATCTTGGTTCTTTCGGTAAAGTCACGTAGAAGGGAAGTAATAAAATAATAAAAATAAAACAGATTAACCTATCTGTCTCCCCGACAGACTTGGTCTTCACCTGAGGACGGCTGCTTGCGTTGTGGCCGAAACGTCGTGAGAATTATTTTTTATTGTTTTATTTTTATTATTTTATTACTTTTCTTTCTTTCTCATTAAACGCAGCATCCCTCCCCAACCGCAGTCTTGGCAGCACGGAGGACCACGCAGCCGAGGAGACCTCGACAAGGCGAGAACTGCTCGCTTTGTCCGTTACGTCCGTTATACTTCAAGCAACAGCAAAAATGGAATTAGATTTTTTTTTTTGTTACGAAAACCAGTGAAATCTGGCATTAAGGCTGCCGGGGACACAATGTTCTGCTGCAGATGTCACACAGATTAACCTATCTTTAAACCATTAAAGTGTTCGTGCCAGACGACCAAATACGTACTATTGGATTACATTTCAGTGAATAAAAATTTTAACGACAAAAACGATTTGGTATCTAGTGGCCAAAGAAAAAATACCAAACGAATCTCACAAACAGCTGCGTGCGTCGGGTGTATCTAAGCCAACGGCTTTAAGCTTTCCCAGCATGCACCTGCATCAATTTACCCACAATTCCCGCTGATGCAAACAGTGGGCCAAGTGCAACCGCAAGCCCCGCCACCCCCCACCACCGGTGGCCAACCAGCCAATCGCACGCTCCGGCACTGCGCCGTGCAAAATGTGTTCGGTCGTCTCCGATTAGTCGGATTTCCACGCTGTACAATTTCACGACACGCCGATTATCGCGGCTTCAATTTCGGATAATTTTGTCACGCGATTTTTTACGTATTTGAGTCCTGTTTTTGTGCGTTGCTGTGCTCCCAGTGTGCGTGATGACAACTTAAAAAGGTTCCTCGGCTGATGTTAACACAACACGAGTCTTCGAATTATGGCGACTTTTTTGCGATCGGTAACATTTACAAAAGCCTTCATTGCTGCCAGTTAAAAACAGAAACAATTAAAAGATCCACAACGCTAAAATTGAGGATGTCACATGACCATCACGCCATCACTTAAGCCAAAAGTCAACGGCTTACAGCTAAATATTGAAAACTTTGATGACCATGTTTGCGAAATCGTACATATGTGGATCAGAATGTAAAACACAATCACGAGAAAACGATATTTTGCCGAACGAACGTTGATGCGATGATCGTGGTGTTTACGCCGTGCGACGCACCGTTGCGTCTCCATATAGCGGCAAACCCTAGCGGTGATTAGTAGGATGGTTCTGGAACGAACGGCAGAGAAATAGGATGGGGGGGGGAGGTGGGGGTGGTGGTTGTGTGGGGGGGGGGGAGGGGGTGGCTCTCTCGCCCAGTCTAAAACAGCACGCGACGGTTACGCATCGTTGCAACAAAAAATGTCACGCGCAATAATCATTCCGTGAGAGCTCGACGCACGCTGAGAGCTGCTTGTTGTGTTTAGTTTGTTGTCCTTTGCCCGCACCTGCGATTAGCACGGCTAGGCTACGTAGGGGGCCAACGAATTTCAACGTACAGTACAATGAGATCTTGAGATCCGACGAGCTCGTTGGGGGCGATTTGGTCAGAGACAAACCAAACGGCAATTATTCTTCGGTTCTTTCGGTAAAGTCACGTATAAAGATAAAATAATAAATTAAATAATAGCATACTACGACGTTTCGATTGCAACACAAGCAATCAGACTTAGATGTCTGTCTATAGTTTTCTGGTTAGATTTTTGTTGCTATTTCTTTTATACCTGATGATGATTGCTTGTGTTGCAATCGAAACGTCGTAGTATGCTATTATTTAATTTATTATTTTATCATTATACGTGACTTTACCGAAAGAACCAAAGAACAATTCCTGCAGTCACGAAAGCTCCAAAATTAAGATCAAACGGCAATTGTTCGTCCCGATTATGTTCCCATCGCACGATTGACGCCACACACTGGGACCAAAAAATATATGGTTAAACACGTAGGCTTTCGCTACCAATATTATCCATAATAAAAGTTTTTGGGTTAGATCACGTAAATGTGTGTCGTGATGGCAGGTTTAACGACACATTTATATTTCAGGACGTCGCGTTTCTTACGCACTCTAAAATGATACAGAATCCAATTAATAAATCACTTTGTACAAATCCTAACGGACGTCACCAAAGGCCTCTTGCGTGCTGGGGTGGGAGGTGGGAGGCGGGAGGGAGGGGGTGAGTTTCTCGCTCGTCTCGCTCTAGAAAGGCGCGCGCCGCCCCCGCTGCCGGCCAAACTCGCACGAGACTCTCCGACGGGGGTCACGAGATCACCGAGCACATCACGAAAACCGCTCGCGAGAGAGGGGCGACACGACGGAGCGGTGACTGGGTTCAAAGTGCGCACACGGCGTTCTCGCTCTCTCTAAAACGCCAACCAAACCGCCGCCCCCCCCCGCCACCACCCATCCCGCGCCCACCAACCCAGACCACAACTTCAGTGATTTAAAATTAATTGTGAAATACCGACGAACAACAAGCGTGTGTGTGTGTATATATATAAATATACACGGCGCGACGCAAACGCCGCGGGCGGGTAGGAGAGTCGGAGCGACGGGTAAACTAAAACGTCGGTGGGATTTGTTTCCGTTTCACGAAGCATGGTGGTGGCGTGGTTTTAAAAAAAAATAAAAACGTCCAGTGAATTCGATTTGTCCAGTCATCAAATCAAATAAAAAAAAAATTAAAGGATGCAAATAATAACGACGACGACGACCAAAAGATACAATTGGACGATGTTAAGTAAGAATATTAGAACCACGAGGATGATTTTGCAGGCACAGCAGGACGCCGCTACGCGTCGGGGCCTACCATAGGCTGGGAGCTCGAGGAGCCCGAGGTGTTGAGGCCGTTGTGAACGGCGACCGTCTTCAAGGCGTCTTCCTCGATCTCTCCTCGCCGGTCAATTAAGCTGATTGAGACAAACACACGCACACGCGCACGCACACAGACACACACACAGAAATGCGCACACAAACACACGCGCACGCGCAGACACGCACGCACACACACAGACACGTGCACACAAACACACACGCACACACAGACACGTGCACACAAACACACACGCAACCACACACACACGCACATGCACAGACACGCACGCACATGCAACCACACACGCACGCGCAGACATGCACGCGAACACACAAACAAGTGCACACAAACACGCGCAGACACGCACGCACACACACACGTATGAGCACATGTATATTTACACACAGGGCACACATATCTATGGCAGTATAAAAAATAAGAAAAGGCTTTACCCTTCCTAGCAATAAAACGGGATTTGTGAAGATGCTCAAACACCAAATCGAAACCTTTTGCAAGGCATCAAGTTTCTACATTAACCCACACAAACTCGTGGCAAAACGGGCAAACAAACATTCTCCGATAATTATTCACTGTGTAACAAAAACATGAATTGTTGTTCCTGGGTAGTAAGTGTTATTTCCTAATTGCTTATGTCTCAAAAGTACAGAAAATGGTTATTACTCCCCACAAACTTTGCTTTTGTGACCAGGACAGTGATATTTTGAAATGTACCTATCGTCAATGAGAAAACGCGGTGTGCATTTGTGTCATTCCTTCACGTAAAGTCCTGGTCACCAAAGCAAAATTTGTGGGAAATAATAAAAGCCATTTTTCTGTACTTTTGAGGCATAAGCAGGCCGAAACGTCGTGAGAATTATTTTATTATGTTTTATTTTTATTATTTTCCTTCTACGTGACTTTACCGAAAGAACCAAGAAGATGAAACCCAAGTACACAGCGGGCCTCAGGCTCGCGATGGAACCCACGACCTCCTGCTGCTCCTGCATACCAGGCTGGTGGTGGTGGTGGGGGAGGTGGAGGGGGCGGTAGGCGGAGGGTCGGCATACCTGGGAGGCAGGGGGCCGCACAGCACGGCGCAGCAGTTGGAGAAGACGTTGCCGTGGCTGAACGGGTTGTAGACATCCTTCCCTCGCTTGCTCGACCACGAACCCTTGATCTACACACGTGGGACGAAGCAGAGGACGGCTGAAAGTTTGTAAACTTTAACGTTACATAGTAGCAGGTTTTGACCCTTTTAAACTGGTACAAAACTGACACCTTTATTCAAGGCATCATGTTTGCAATGACCACAACACAAGTAGTCAAGAAAGCAAACAAAAAGAAGCAACTCTGATAATGATAATAATATGCACTGTCCTTGAAGTTGATTGGTCCACACCCGAGACGGCTTTCTTTAGAGCCTAGTCCCCATTGGTGTAGGGCCAGATGACACCAGAAGGCGTACAACTCAAACACAGTGCAATATCAGAGTATTGAGAGCTCGGGTTAAGCATTTACACTATGAGACATCTCTTTTACCAGTGGCAAAATATAGTAGTAGGTTTTAACCCTTTTAAACTGGTACAAAACTGACACCTTTATTCAAGGCATCATGTTTGCAATAACCACAACACAAGTAGTCAAAAAAGCAAACAAAAGGAAGCAACTCTGATAATGAAAATAATAACGTTACGTTACATTTATATACACACACACATATGGGACACGGTACGTTCACCGGTGCTGTCATTTAGTGTTTCGGGTTGTCGGGGGGGGGCGATTCAGCAGGTGCGGCGATGAAAGCGAGGTAGCCATGGGGTAGAGGGCGGGGTGCAGGTCAGGTGGCGGGGGAGGGCGGCCGCTTGCGGAACACCTCAAAGCCGTCCGTTGCGCCGAGCCGGTAATTGTTCATCTTAATGAATGTTTGCCGAACTTCTTTCGTACCGTACGTAGCCAATCGTGCTAAATCGGAGGTGCAGTGGAGTGTGGTAGTTCGGTGTGGTGGTGGAGTGTGGTGGTGGTGTTGGTGGTGGAGTGTGGTGGTGGAGTGTGGTGGTGGAGTGTGGTGGTGGAGCGTGGTGGTGGAGCGTGGTGGTGGAGCGTGGTGGTGGAGCGTGGTGGTGGAGTGTGGTGGAGTGTGGTGGTGGAGTGTGGTGGTGGAGTGTGGTGGTGGAGTGTGGTGGTGGAGTGTGGTAGTTTGGTGTGGTGGTGGAGTGTGGTGGTGGAGTGTGGTAGTTCGGTGTGGTGGTGGAGTGTGGTGGTGGAGTGTGGTAGTTCGGTGTGGTGGTGGAGTGTGGTGGTGGAGTGTGGTGGTGGAGTGTAGTGGTGGAGTGTGGTAGTTCAGCATGGTGGTGGAGTGTGGTGGTGGAGTGTGGTGGTGGAGTGTGGTGGTGGAGTGTGGTGGTGGAGCGTGGTGGTGGAGCGTGGTGGTGGAGCGTGGTGGTGGAGTGTGGTGGTGGAGTGTGGTGGTGGAGTGGGGTAGCTCGGCGTGGTGGTGGAGTGTGGTGGTGGAGTGTGGTGGTGGAGTGTGGTGGTGGATGTGGTGGTGGAGTGTGGTGGTGGAGTGTGGTGGTGGAGTGTGGTGGTGGAGTGTGTGGGTGGTGTGAGTGGTGATGTGGTAGTTGGTGTGGTGGTGGTGGAGTGTGGTAGTTCGGTGTGGTGGTGGAGTGTGGTGGTGGAGTGTGGTGGTGGAGTGTGGTGGTGGAGTGTGGTGGTGGAGTGTGGTGGTGGAGTGTGGTAGTTCGGTGTGGTGGTGGAGTGTGGTGGTGGAGTGTGGTGGTGGAGTGTGGTGGTGGAGTGTGGTAGTTCAGCATGGTGGTGGAGTGTGGTGGTGGAGTGTGGTGGTGGAGTGTGGTGGTGGAGTGTGGTGGTGGAGTGTGGTGGTGGAGTGTGGTGGTGGAGTGTGGTGGTGGAGTGTGGTGGTGGAGTGTGGTGGTGGAGCGTGGTGGTGGAGCGTGGTGGTGGTGGAGTGGGGTAGCTCGGCGTGGTGGTGGAGTGTGGTGGTGGAGTGTGGTGGTGGAGTGTGGTGGTGGAGGTGGTGGTGGAGTGTGGTGGAGTGTGGTGGTGAGTGGTGGTGGAGTGTGGTGGAGTGTGGTGGTGGAGTGTGGTGGTGGAGTGTGGTAGTTTGGTGTGGTGGTGGAGTGTGGTGGTGGAGTGTGGTAGTTCGGTGTGGTGGTGGAGTGTGGTGGTGGAGTGTGGTGGTGGAGTGTGGTAGTTCAGCATGGTGGTGGAGTGTGGTGGTGGAGTGTGGTGGTGGAGTGTGGTGGTGGAGTGTGGTGGTGGAGTGTGGTGGTGGAGTGTGGTGGTGGAGCGTGGTGGTGGAGCGTGGTGGTGGAGCGTGGTGGTGGAGTGTGGTGGTGGAGTGTGGTGGTGGAGTGGGGTAGCTCGGCGTGGTGGTGGAGTGTGGTGGTGGAGTGTGGTGGTGGAGTGTGGTGGTGGAGTGTGGTGGTGGAGTGTGGTGGAGTGTGGTGGTGGAGTGTGGTGGTGGAGTGTGGTGGTGGAGTGTGGTGGTGGAGTGTGGTAGTTCGGTGTGGTGGTGGAGTGTGGTGGTGGAGTGTGGTAGTTCGGTGTGGTGGTGGAGTGTGGTGGTGGAGTGTGGTGGTGGAGTGTGGTGGAGTGTGGTGGTGGAGTGTGGTGGTGGAGTGTGGTGGAGTGTGGTGGAGTGTGGTGGTGGAGTGTGGTGGTGGAGTGTGGTGGTGGAGCGTGGTGGTGGAGCGTGGTGGTGGAGTGTGGTGGTGGAGTGTGGTGGTGGAGCGTGGTGGTGGAGCGTGGTGGTGGAGTGTGGTAGTTTGGTGTGGTGGTGGAGTGTGGTGGTGGAGTGTGGTGGTGGAGTGTGGTGGTGGAGTGTGGTGGTGGAGTGTGGTGGTGGAGTGTGGTGGTGGAGCGTGGTGGTGGAGCGTGGTGGTGGAGTGTGGTGGTGGAGTGTGGTGGTGGAGTGTGGTGGTGGAGTGGGGTAGCTCGGCGTGGTGGTGGAGTGTGGTGGTGGAGTGTGGTGGTGGAGTGTGGTGGTGGAGTGTGGTGGTGGAGTGTGGTGGTGGAGTGTGGTGGTGGAGTGTGGTGGAGTGTGGTGGTGGAGTGTGGTGGTGGAGTGTGGTAGTTTGGTGTGGTGGTGGAGTGCGGTAGTTTGGTGTGGTGGTGGAGTGTGGTGGTGGAGTGTGGTGGTGGAGTGTGGTAGTTTGGTGTGGTGGTGGAGTGTGGTAGTTCGGTGTGGTGGTGGAGTGTGGTGGTGGAGTGTGGTGGTGGAGTGTGGTGGTGGAGTGTGGTGGTGGAGTGTGGTGGTGGAGTGTGGTGGTGGAGTGTGGTGGTGGAGTGTGGTGGAGTGTGGTGGTGGAGTGTGGTGGTGGAGTGTGGTAGTTTGGTGTGGTGGTGGAGTGTGGTAGTTCGGTGTGGTGGTGGAGTGTGGTGGTGGAGTGTGGTGGTGGAGTGTGGTGGTGGAGTGTGGTGGTGGAGTGTGGTGGTGGTGTGTGGTAGTTTGGTGTGGTGGTGGAGTGTGGTGGTGGAGTGTGGTGGAGTGTGGTGGTGGAGTGTGGTGGTGGAGTGTGGTGGTGGAGTGTGGTAGTTCGGTGTGGTGGTGGAGTGTGGTGGTGGAGCGTGGTGGTGGAGTGTGGTGGTGGAGCGTGGTGGTGGAGCGTGGTGGTGGAGCGTGGTGGTGGAGTGTGGTGGTGGAGTGTGGTGGTGGAGTGTGGTGGTGGAGTGTGGTGGAGTGTGGTAGTTCAGCATGGTGGTGGAGTGTGGTGGTGGAGTGTGGTGGTGGAGCGTGGTGGTGGAGTGTGGTGGTGGAGTGGGGTAGCTCGGCGTGGTGGTGGAGTGTGGTGGTGGAGTGTGGTAGTTCGGTGTGGTGGTGGAGTGTGGTGGTGGAGTGTGGTGGTGGAGTGTGGTGGTGGAGTGTGGTGGTGGAGCGTGGTGGTGGAGCGTGGTGGTGGAGCGTGGTGGTGGAGTGTGGTGGTGGAGTGTGGTGGTGGAGTGTGGTGGTGGAGTGTGGTGGAGTGTGGTAGTTCAGCATGGTGGTGGAGTGTGGTGGAGTGTGGTGGTGTGTGGTAGTTCAGCATGGTGGTGGAGTGTGGTGGTGGAGTGTGGTGGTGGAGTGTGGTGGTGGAGTGTGGTGGTGGAGTGTGGTGGTGGAGTGTGGTGGTGGAGTGTGGTGGTGGAGTGTGGTGGTGGAGTGTGGTGGTGGAGTGTGGTAGTTTGGTGTGTGGTGGTGGAGTGTGGTAGTTCGGTGTGGTGGTGGAGTGTGGTGGTGGAGTGTGGTGGTGGAGTGTGGTGGTGGAGTGTGGTGGTGGAGTGTGGTGGTGGAGTGTGGTAGTTTGGTGTGGTGGTGGAGTGTGGTGGTGGAGTGTGGTGGTGGAGTGTGGTGGTGGTGTGTGGTGGTGGAGTGTGGTAGTTCGGTGTGGTGGTGGAGTGTGGTGGTGGAGTGTGGTGGTGGAGTGTGGTGGTGGAGTGTGGTGGTGGAGTGTGGTGGTGGAGTGTGGTAGTTCGGTGTGGTGGTGGAGTGTGGTGGTGGAGTGTGGTGGTGGAGTGTGGTGGTGGAGTGTGGTGGTGGAGTGTGGTAGTTCGGTGTGGTGGTGGAGTTGGTGGTGGAGTGTGGTGGTGGAGTGTGGTGGTGGAGTGTGGTGGTGGAGTGTGGTGGAGTGTGGTGGAGTGTGGTAGTTCAGCATGGTGGTGGAGTGTGGTGGTGGAGTGTGGTGGTGGAGTGTGGTGGTGGAGTGTGGTAGTTTGGTGTGGTGGTGGAGTGTGGTGGTGGAGTGTGGTGGTGGAGTGTGGTGGAGTGTGGTGGTGGAGTGTGGTGGTGGAGTGTGGTGGTGGAGTGTGGTAGTTCGGTGTGGTGGTGGAGTGTGGTGGTGGAGTGTGGTAGTTCGGTGTGGTGGTGGAGTGTGGTGGTGGAGTGTGGTGGTGGAGTGTGGTGGTGGAGCGTGGTGGTGGAGCGTGGTGGTGGAGCGTGGTGGTGGAGTGTGGTGGTGGAGTGTGGTGGTGGAGTGTGGTGTGGAGTGTGGTGGAGTGTGGTAGTTCAGCATGGTGGTGGAGTGTGGTGGTGGAGTGTGGTGGTGGAGTGTGGTGGAGTGTGGTGGTGGAGTGTGGTGTGGAGTGGTGGAGTGTGGTGGTGGAGTGTGGTGGGTGGGAGTGTGGGGGTGGAGTGTGGTAGTTTGGTTTGGTGGTGGAGTGTGGTAGTTCGGTGTGTGGTGGAGTGTGGTGGTGGAGTGTGGTGGTGGAGTGTGGTGGTGGAGCGTGGTGGTGGAGCGTGGTGGTGGAGTGTGGTGGTGGAGTGTGGTGGTGGAGTGTGGTGGAGTGTGGTGGAGTGTGGTAGTTCAGCATGGTGGTGGAGTGTGGTGGTGGAGTGTGGTGGTGGAGCGTGGTGGTGGAGTGTGGTGGTGGAGTGTGGTGGTGGAGTGGGGTAGCTCGGCGTGGTGGTGGAGTGTGGTGGTGGAGTGTGGTAGTTCGGTGTGGTGGTGGAGTGTGGTGGTGGAGTGTGGTGGTGGAGTGTGGTGGTGGAGTGTGGTGGTGGAGTGTGGTGGTGGAGCGTGGTGGTGGAGCGTGGTGGTGGAGCGTGGTGGTGGAGTGTGGTGGTGGAGTGTGGTGGTGGAGTGTGGTGGAGTGTGGTGGAGTGTGGTAGTTCAGCATGGTGGTGGAGTGTGGTGGTGGAGTGTGGTGGTGGAGTGTGGTGGTGGAGTGTGGTGGTGGAGTGGGTAGTTCGGCGTGGTGGTGGAGTGTGGTGGTGGAGTGTGGTGGTGGAGCGTGGTGGTGGAGTGTGGTGGTGGAGTGTGGTGGTGGAGCGTGGTGGTGGAGTGTGGTGGTGGAGTGTGGTGGTGGAGTGTGGTGGAGTGTGGTAGTTCAGCATGGTGGTGGAGTGTGGTGGTGGAGCGTGGTGGTGGAGTGTGGTGGTGGAGTGTGGTGGTGGAGTGGGGTAGCTCGGCGTGGTGGTGGAGTGTGGTGGTGGAGTGTGGTGGTGGAGTGTGGTGGTGGAGCGTGGTGGTGGAGCGTGGTGGTGGAGTGTGGTAGCTCAGCGTGGTGGTGGAGTGTGGTGGTGGAGTGTGGTGGTGGAGTGCGGCGTGCCACTCACGTCCTCGTTGGTGGTCTGGTTAGAGGCCACCAGGTAGGTGTGGAACCCCGACAGTCCGATGATCGACCACACGGAGAAGAAACAGACGACCGCTTCCAGCACAGTGCGGCCCCCGTCGCGGTCAAGGCCACCAACACCAGGGGGAGAGACTCGCGGCGAACTCGCCAACAAAACACAAGGGGGCCCCCCACCGGGGGGGCACAGCGAATGCCGTGGACTGGCGCAGAGTGTTTGTTGGGGGGGGGTGGGCGGTCGCCCGTTTTAAAATTTACGAGGAACCTCCTTTTCAAAAATAAAAATTCTACCCACGTGACTTTCCCGAAAGAACCAAAGAGTATGGATTCCCGCAGTCACGAAAGCTTCAAATCACGATTATTGCAACAAATCGCCCGCTGAAGTCACCACGAAACGGCCCGCGGTGTTGTTTGCGAAACGTGAAGATTGCCGCGGATTTAATATAATGCATCGGAAGGCAGGGAGAGAGAGAAACTGCGACGGGCACCGCCGTCGGCACACATCGCAAGCGGCGATAAATATGCAAAGCAAATAAGACTTCGCGAGCGGAAGAGTCGCATTTCATTCTCTCGCAGCGGCAACTCCCTTGAGAGGTTTGATGTTCCCCTCCGATGTCACGCGCCCGACCCTAATTGGGATTCCGCTTTCAATTCCGAGCAGTGGGTTGGAGACTCCGAGCGTCGCTGTCGTCAGAAGTGATCAATCCACTGCTGGATGAAGTCCTCCCACGCCCCCCATCCCAAGCCAATGCCACCCCCCCCCTCCCGATACCGCGACGCAACAATCCACACCGCGCCCGCTCAGTCTCCCCAGTTGACATCCTACTCGTGACGCATTCCATCCCCTTGGCTATTACACACAAAGTGCTTGCCACAACTGAACAGAGGTCGCAACCGGGTACCCGATACCCGTACCCTACCCGATACCCGGCTACCTGTACCCGGCCGGGTACGGGTACGGGTACCGGTTTGCGACCCTGGTGCGGCCGGGTACGGGTAGGCCGTGAGTCACTGGTGAGTCACCGTTTGTCACTCATTTCGGGTAGGGTACGTGTACGGGTAGGGAACGGGTACCCGTACCTGGCCGGGTACGGGTACGGGTACCCGTTTGCGACCCTGGTGCGGCCGGGTACGGGTACGGGTAAGGAATCAAAACCCGTTTGCGACCTCTGCAACTGAACCACGATACCTCGCTGACCTCGTAAAGGAGCTATAAACCATCATCATGCAAACTCCGGTCATCCTCGCAGCGGCAGCAGCGGCTTTAGGCTCAGCCATCGAACAAAGGCGATGGTCACCGCATCAACACGCCTGGCGCTTTCAGATGCGCTGCTTCTGCGGCCGTCTGGAACGCTCTTCCCTTCCGATATTAGGAAGCCACTGGAGCCGTGGATTTAAACTCTTTTCTTCATACCTGCTTTTTGTGTTTAGTTTTTTATCCTTCCCCCGCACCTCCGATTGGCACGGGTTGGCTACGTACGTTTCCAAAGAAGTTCAACACACGTGCATAGTATTACTGCACGCACGCACGCACGCCATGAAATATATTGCCAAGTCCAAATGTTCTACGCTTTGATAAAATCTTCTTGGTTCTTTCGGTAAAGTCACGTAGAAGGGAAATAATAAAATAATAAAAATAAAACAATCAAATAATTCTCACGACGTTTCGGCCACAACGCAAGCAGCCATCCTCAGGTGAAGAACAGGTCTGTCGGAAAGACGCCAAATTCTCCTGAGGACGGCTGCTTGCGTTGTGGCCGAAACGTCGTGAGAATGATTTTATTATGTTTTATTTTTATTATTTTATTATTTCCGTTCTACGTGACTTTACCGAAAGAACCAAGAAGATGAATCCCTGCAGTCACGAAAGAAGCTTTAAATCGAACTTTGATAAAATGTTCACTGCTTTGCACTCTACCATTTTATCTGTGTTTGACATTGCAATATTTACCTTTCAACTGTTGACCCGGGAGGGATTAATTTGTCTGCCAGAGATAAGCGCAGCACTGGACACAACCCCCATTGCGATTGCTGTGGCTCAAGCTGAGTCTCCAGGCTTCTCGCTCCGCCCAACCCGGGGATGATAACGTGTCGGACAATGCCCCCCCCCCCGCCCCCCCACCTCTCAAATGGCTCACGCAATTAAGCCACGTCGGAATGTCTCGGCACTAACGAGATTGCGTCTGAAGGGCTTCGGATGAGGATTATTCCGCGCGCGCGTTCGTAAAGGAGACGTCTTCGCTAAGATGACATTCATCCGCCGGCTCGCCACATCTGAGCTTTCTCATCTCAAACTAGAAATCAAACTAAACTTTTTGGATTTTTCCACATAAGGTCCAGTTCAGAAGCGACCTGGTCACAAATTATAGCTCAACAAAGTGGCTTTTATCATCACATGGACATTTCTAGCAGACAAATACTCCAAACGCGTGGTGATGCGGATTCTAAATGTGGAAGGAAAAACCGGAGGACCCGGAGAAAAATCCACGCGACGTTGGGGAGAGAGAGAGAGAGACACGCAAACTCAAAATATACAGCAGCAGGCGTCAGGGTCGGGATCGAACCCACAACCTCCTGTATACCAAGCGAGGTAGTTAACATCTCCTAGCCACTGTGGTGCCCTGCTCTCCACGGCACGAACGTACGTACACAACACGGGTGGTTCTTCCACTCGGGAACACGTTTCACGGATCGCGCGCTGTGAAAACGCAGAGCGCCCCACCCCCCCTCCCCGCATTATAACGCGGTTTCTGAGCACTCAACAACGGACTACTTTCTTGAGCTGGCCGGCTGAGCGATGGCGATACGGTCGGCGGAATGATACAGGAACACAGTGACGCGGCGGTGTATCCTCATCTCAGACCTGTGTCCCGCCATGGGACGATTCGAATGTTATGCGATTCAAATTTTTACGTACAAATGCGATTCTAATTTGCATCGATTTTAGTCACTTACTTGTGCCACGTAATGCACGCGGCGCGGGGTGCCGTGCGGGAACGCAGCATCTCCTGCTCGGGCTGTGGCACGTCAAACGAAGAACTTGCTAATTGTTTTGTTACCCTTCTATCTGGCAACAAAACTGACACCTTTTTTTTACGAGGAGTCATGTTTGCATAGACCACAATACCTGCAGCCGTAATGCAAACAATAAACACAACTCTGATAATGTATGCACTGTCCTTGAAGTTGATTGGTCCACACCCGAGACAGCTTTCCTTAGAGCCTAGTCTCACATGGTGTTGGACCAGATGATGCCAAAAGGCACACAACTCAAAGACAATGCACCATCAGAGTATGAGAGCTCGGGGTAAGCATTTACACCATTGGAACCTCATTTGCCAGTAAAAAATATGATAATTGGTTTTTTACCCTTCTATCTGGCAACAAAACTGACACCTTTTTTTTACAAGGAGTCATGTTTGCATAGACCACAATACCTGCAGCCGTAATGCAAACAATAAACACAACTCTGATAATGTATGCACTGTCCTTGAAGTTGATTGGTTCACACCCGAGACAGCTTTCCTTAGAGCCTAGTCTCACATGGTGTTGGACCAGATGATGCCAAAAGGCACACAACTCAAAGACAATGCACCATCAGAGTATGAGAGCTCGGGGTAAGCATTTACACCATTGGAACCTCATTTGCCAGTAAAACATATGATAATTGGTTTTTTACCCTTCTATCTGGCAACAAAACTGACACCTTTTTTTTACAAGGAGTCATGTTTGCATAGACCACAATACCTGCAGTCGTAATACAAACAAAGAACATAACTCTGATAATGTATGTGCACTGTCCTTGAAGTTGATTGGTCCACACCCGAGACAGCTTTCCTTAGAGCCTAGTCTCACATGGTATTGGACCAGATGACGCCAGGTGTCCGTTTTGTTGCCAGATAGAAGGGTAACAAAAATAATTATCATATTTTTTACTGCCAAATGAGGTTCCAATGGAGGAACTTGCTGTCGCACGCGGCCAACAATTTCGCGTCACGCCAACAATCGCGGTCGATATGACGTGGAGGTGGGGGGGGGGGGATGCGGGAGGTGGGGGGTCAGGGGGGGGGCCCACGTGGGTTGACGCCACAGAAAGGATATCTCGCAGGGCTGTCCTTGAGGGCGTTCAGAAAGCCGTCACGTTGAGACACTGCGGGACGAGAGAGAAGGAGGACATGGGAGGAGGGGGAGGTCAGGCCGCCGCTATCACAAACACCCACCGCTCCATTTGAGAAGCGGGGCCCAGGCCGAGAATTTGAAAGTGCGCGAAAACGGTTATTTGTACACACGGCGTGCGTGTGTTCACTGCTTTGTCGTCGTCGAACCGCTGTTGGATGAGTCGGGGGAGAGGGGGGGGGGGTTTCTTTGACCATACTTCGCCACGCTGGTCAGCGTGGGTTGGTAAACGTGGGCGGTATGGGGGTGTGGGAGAGAGCAGGTAACGTGTAGGGTCACCATTGGGGTTTGCTGCACTCCCCACTGCCGACCCACACAGTAGTCGCGCAGCTTTTATTAAAAAACTAAACTATTTCTTATTTTTATTTTACAAATGAAAGGTCCACAAAAGCTGTAGAGGGACAAACCCGGAAGGACCCGGAGAAAAATCCACGCGGCCACGTGGAGTGAGTAACGCAAACACCAAATATACATTCTAGATTTGAAGCTTTCGTGACTGCAAGGACTCATACTCTTAGGTCTTTCGGTAAAGTCACGTGGGTAAAAAATGACCGTCACAGCCAGATTTGCTGCATCAAGTGATGCAGCAAATCTGGCTGTGACGGTCCCACCTGATGACGGAGACTTGTGCTGCCTCCGAAACGTCGTGATTTTATTATTTTATTTTTTTATTAATTTTAATTTCATTTTTTACCTACGTGACTTTACTGAAAGAACTAAGAGCACCAAATATACAGCAGCAGGCGTCAAGGGCTGGGATCGAACCCACGAACTCCTGTGTACCAGGCGAGGTAGTTAACAACTCGCCACCATGGCTCCCGATTGTTCACGTGACAAACTTTACTCGTGCGGCTGTGTCGGGGTGGTGCTCGTGGGATGACGACACATTTACACGATCGAACGCACGACATCCTGCATACCAGGCGAGGTAGTTAACATCTCCTAGCCAACGTGATGATGATGAGAGAGAGAGACACGCAAACACCAAATATACAGCAGCAGGCGTCAGGGTTGGGATCGAACCCACGACCTCGTGTGTACCAGGCGAGGTAGTTAACATCTCCTAGCCACCGTGATGATGATGAGATAGAGAAAGACACGCAAACTCTAAATATACAGCAGGCATCAGGGTTGGGATCGAACCCACGACCTCCTGCGTACCAGGCGAGGTAGTTAACATCTCCTAGCCACCATGGCGCCCTCTCGCACCTCCGATTAGCACGGTTGGCTACGTACGGTGCAGAAGAAGTTCAACGTGCACACACATTTCGAAAATTCCTCAATTGTGTTGCCTTGTCCCAATTCATTTGAGTTTTGTCAGCGCCCCGATTTCAGGTGACACTCACAGGAATAAAAATCGATATCAACAATGACAGCAGTGGATAAAATATTAACTTAAAGAACAAACAACTAAAACGCTTTCATGCTGGCGTTAAAATGAATTCATTTAGAATGTGTCTCCTGACTTTTCGGGTCAGCCTGTAAATGCAGGACACGTGTGTGATTGTGTGTGGAGCGGTAGTGGTTAGCACGCTGCGCTACGAACCCGGGGACTCGAGTTCGATTCCCGCTCACCGCCAAACACCAGTGACGAATACATGAACCGGTCCCGGGCCTCCTCTAGGTCGACTCAGCCTGACACGAGTACCTGGTGCGGTGTGCAAAAATCGCCACTGGGGAGACAAAGGCGGCCGGGCACGGTGCTGACCACCCACCCCCTCGTGTCCCGTGCCTTTCATAAGTGCTACTCGCTAACAGCACTTGCCCCTGCAATCTGTTGAAGGCTATACGGGGGATCTTTGTCTTTTTGTGCGCACAAAGGAACACTCAGGCACACACTGCCCTCTGGAAGAAAAGGCGCCCCCCCCCCCCCCCTCGCACACCGCCGTTCCAACAATACGCATTTAGCCAGCACTTCACGCGACACAATCTACTCACGGGTCATATTTCCTCACCAATTGCATCTCGCTGTTTGGAACGAGAGCTCGGGTTCCGTTCGCCCTGCAGTCACGAGGCGCCGTGGTGGCTAGGAGATGTTAACTACCTCGCCTGGTACACAGGAGGTCGTGGGTTCGATCCCGACTCCTGACGCCTGCTGCTGTATATTTTGAGTTTGCGTGTCTCTCTCTCATTATCATCATCATCATCACGGTGGCTAGGAGATGTTAACTACCTCGCCTGGTATACAGGAGGTCGTGGGTTCGTTCCCGACCCTGACGCCCGCTGCTGTATATTTGGAGTTTGTGGGTCTTTCTCTCTCCCCATGGTGAGATGTTAACTACCTCGCCTGGTACACAGGAGGTCGTGGGTTCGATCCCAGCCCCTGACGCCTGCTGCTGTATATTTGGAGTTTGCGTGTCTCTCTCTCTCTCCCCGTGGTGAGATGTTAACTACCTCGCCTGGTACACAGGAGGTCGTGGTTTCGATCCTGGCCCCTGACGCCTGCTGTATATTTGGAATTTGCCTGTTTTCGTGGTCGCGTGCAATTTTCTCCGGGTCCTCCAGTTTTGACCCTCGACATTTAGAAATATACATTTAAGAGTATCAGAATCATTTATACTGGAGGAATCCGATGAGCTATAATGCTCTTTTATTATAGATGGCCAGGCTGGTATAAATATTCACATAAGCCACTTCTCATTGAGCTATCATTTGTGGCTAGGTATATTAAGCAAAAGAGTTATAGAGCTCAGTGGGCCTTACCTGGTAAAATAACAAATAGTCTTAGTTCAGTTTTAATAGTTCAATTCAGCTGTCCGTAACGTGCTGCGTTTTTATCTGCCCGGCGCTCCGCTCGTTGTGCTTGCGAGCACCCCAGAAGCCTCAAGGCGCACCGAGCCTGGGCATCACTGTTTCACTGCTTTTATGGCTTTATTTTGGTGATTTTTGAAAAGTTTTTCGGTTTGGCCATGTTTGTTTGTTGTAGTACAGAGTTAGACTGATGGTCTTAATCTAAGTTGTCTTGTGGTTGTTGTTGTTTGACTTGCATCCCACTGGGATTTTTTCACACAGTGTTGGTGTACGGTGATTTTTCTGCAATATTTTGCTGTCTTTTCTTGGATTTTTTCACTTTAAGATGTTTTCTTGTTCATGTTTTTGTTTTTTGTTTGTTGCGGTTGCACCCGATTCAAGAGCCGAATGGCTCACAGGGGCTATACCTAATAAATGAAACTTGAACTTGAACTTGATTGCCCAGGAAGCGGCCTTCACTAGCCTCTCCTCCTTGCTATGACCACGTGGTCACGGGCGCAACATCGAGCGCCCGCCCCGTAAGTGAATCCTGGGTGTTGATCCAGTCAATAAGCAAATCTATCATCGGCAACCGTGAACATTTTCCAGGAAACCCGGGACGGCAGCGGGCGTTTAGGCAGCGAAGGACGCGTCTGGAAAATCAAGCGGGCGGGGGGGGCATCCGTGGCATCGTGCGGGCAACGTTAGAAAGCCACCGAAGGCTTCGGCTACTCGCGGTCGTCATCCCTACTACGATGGGAGGCCTGCGAGGGGCCCAAGTGCTTCCGGCACGTAACCCTCTTTGGGTGGGTGGGGGGTGGGGGGCGTTTCGTCCCGACGGGTTACGCCGTTCAACGACCCGCGATTCGCCGAGCCAATGTTGGCAAGTTGGCTTCGAGCACGGGGCGACCAAAGGATCGTGTAAATGAATAATGAGCCGCGTGCGGTTGCACGGTGTTGGTGGTGGTGGTGGGTGGTGGGGTGGTGGTTGCCACTCACGCAGGGCTATGTGCACGATGATGAACGCGAAGATGTAGACGGTGAGGAGCGACAGGGAGAGGACGAACATGTAGAAGAATCTGTAGTTCCTCTTGCCGACGCAGTTGCCCACCCAGGGGCAGTGGTGGTCGAAGTGCTCTGCGCACGAACAGCACCGCACGCGGGAGACACACGCGCACACAACAACAACCACCACCACCGCGGTGCGATCGTTAAGACTGTTCAATGACATTGACATCGCCACGCAGACACCGATTACGAGGAATCGAGTCTGCATCACCCTCTCTCTTGTGGCTTTGTGTCCCACCGGTGCTAGAGACCAAAGGATGCCAAGATGTGACCAGTACAGGGACAATGCAAAAGCTTAAACAGTTCACGTGAATGCAGACTTGATGCTTTGTAAAAAGGTGTCGATTTGGTCTTTGAACATCTTAACACATCCTGTATTATAAGCCTCCTATTTCTTTATCATCTTCATAGTGGCAAAAACGGGTCCCGTAAATACATCCACATCATTCCTTGTGTGTGCGCACACATACACAAACATCAAAGATACCCTGCAAAGCCTCAACAGACTGCTGGAAAAGTGATGTTAGCGAGTGCCTATTAAGTCCGGTACGGCACAGCAAGCAATTGGGGTGGGTCGGCAGCAACACGCCAGGCCGCCTTTGTCTCCCCAGTGCCGACGTTTACACGCCGGAGGCAGCTAGCGCAAATTTAAGGCTCAGTCAACCTACAGCGAGACCGAGGAACGGTACAGATATTCGTCAACGAAACGAAACTATTTTTTTTATTTGATCAGGTAAGGCCCACTCTGTGCTAATGCAGCTATTTTTCAGAAGTGACTTGGCTATAACAAATGATTGCTCAACCAAGTTTATCATCATCATCATCACGTAAAAATTTGTAGCAGCCAAATACTCTAAACGCATGGTGATGCTGATTCTAAATGTGGAGGGGAAAAACCGGAGGACCCGGAGAAAAATCCACGCGATCACGGGGAAAGAGAAAGACATGCAAACTCCAAATATAAACAGCAGGCGTCAGGGTCGGGATCGAACCCACGGACTCCTGTACACCGGGCGAGGGAGATAACATCTCGCCACGCTGGCCACGATCTGGAAACAAACGGCTCGCGGGGTTCATAGCGCAGTGGTGTTTCGAACGCTAACCGCTCGCTCCGCCCTCCCCTAACCCCCCCCCCCCCCCCCCCCCCCTCACAGCACACACAGCCCAGCGCTCACCCACGCAGTTGTCGCAGAGGCTACAGTGGGAGGCTCGCGGCGGGCGGAATATCTTGCACGTGAGGCAGTACTTGAGCTTCACGTTCTGCCCGTTGATTTTCACCTCCTTCATGCGCGGGGGCGGCCGGTAGTTGTTTGCGTTGCCGCCGTTCGCCACCTCTGCAGGGGTGAGGGGGGTAGGGGTGGCGGGGGGGGGCGGGGGGTGGGCACGGGGTTGAAGGGGGGCAGGGATCGATGGGTTAAACCACGCCGCCGAGCAGAAGGGGACAGCGCCGTGGATCGCGATCAAAAAAGTTGAACATTTGCAAGAGGCATTTCGTCCGTAGGCCTCGTCAGCGCGAGGAGGTTGCCGCGCCACCGGTGGCACAACGACCACGCGTCGGGATTTCACTTCCCGAACGCGTCCGGTCCCCGAGGCTGGCTGCCAGCGGCGTAGCGCAATTTCTCGCTCGCCGCCGCCGTTCTCGCCCCTCCCCGCAACGGAGGCACGCACCCCTCCGCCACTCGGAGAGGTGGCGCCGTGACGAAGGAAACCCCCTCGCGCGCAACGGCTGCGGTTGATATCCGCGACTGTGCCTGAACCGGGAAATCGGACAAATTGAGCGAAACGCATGCTCACAGTATTGCAGAAACGAGCCAGAGCTAAAAACGGAAATGCATTAGGAGATTGCCAATACGTAAGTAGATACTCAGATTGTAAATGTTGTGGCTTGGCTCTCCAACACACAACCGGTGTGCTGTACTAGTACACTACAATATACACTACACTATACACTACTATACACTACACACTAGTGCTGTACTAGTATACTACACTATACACTACACCACACACTAGTGCTGTACTAGTGACGAATTGGCACGCTCTGTTTACGTGACAAACCTTACTAGTTGGCTGTGTCGGGTGGTGGCGGGTTAAATGACACATTTATATATTTACACGATCTAACCCCAAAAAAAAAACTGTATTATGGATGATATTGATCACGAAGGCCTACGCACTTGCTAATTAAATACTTGAAGGCAACCGACGATTGTGGAAAAGCGTCACATAATCCACGTATTTGCACGATTCATTAAGACTTGTTGTGAAATGACTTACATGTGACGATGATGATGTTGATCGTGGGTAATGTTGATGGGCGATTACGATTAAAAACTAAACTATTTTTTATTTTAGCACGTAAGGCCCCACTGAACTATGTAGCTGTTAACATCTCATATAGCCAACCGTGAACCGCAAAAGAACTCGCGTCGCTCCGTTCCGTTGGCACGGCGAGCTACCGTAACTCGCTGGCGGTTTGCCGGCAATGATCACGGGGGGATTGGAGGGGGGCGCTTTACCGTCCGAGCCGAGGATCTGCTTCTCCAGGTCGGCCGCTTCGTCTGCGGCCGCTCGGGGCAGGACGCCGGGGTCGCTGAAGCTCGTGCGCAGGAGGCTGCACATGACGAAGATGAAGAGGGCCGCGCCGACCGCCGGCACCGCGGGGTTCAGGTTCTCCGCCAGGAACGGGCAACTGCCGGCAGACGGACAGAGGGAGGGACGGAGGGGCCGCGGTTATATCTCGGTAAGAGGCTTTATTCCATCTTGAATTGAAGCTTTCGTGACCGCAGGGATTCATCTTCTTGGTTCTTTCGGTAAAGTCACGTAGGTAGAAATAAAACAAAATATATACCTTAAATAGTCGCTCCAAGCCTGGGGTGTGTCATTCAGACGCTGTCTTCTCGACAGACCTGCTCTCCACCTGAGGACGGCTGCTTGCGTTGTGGCCGGAACGTCGCGAGAATCATTTTTATTATTTTATTATTTCCATTCTACGTGACTTTACCGAAAGAACCAAGAAGATGAATCCCTGCAGTCACGAAAGCTTTAAATCGAAATAAAACAAAATAAATCACGACGTTTCGAACGCAACACAAGCGCCCGTCTTCAGGTGAAAATCGCGATAGCCGCGATTGTCTGCTGCGAGCAGACATCGTGCTGCTTATCGTGATTAATTTTGGTTTATTTCTACCTACGTGACTTTACCGAAAGAACCAAAGAGTAAGGCTCTATTCAGCAAAGATACGGTGTGAGAGATTGTGTGGTGCCACGATTAAAAATGTTACCCGCACCATCCGAAGCGATGCTGCTGCCGCCAGACTTTTCACCCACACCTCGAATCTGAGAGCACGTCACCCCGATTGCTTCTAACCCTCCCCCCGCTGACTTCCAAAACCAATCCCAGATCAATATCAAGATCACACTCACCGGTCTTTCAGAATCCTTCCCATGAACTCACCCCCTTGCCTACCGCTACCCTCTCATCTCACTCAACTCCCCCCTCCACACACTCTACCACCTCTCATCTCACTCCAATCCCTTCCACGCGCTCTCCGCTCCAGCAACCGAGGCGTTCTATCGAAGCCACCACCCAACCGTTTCTCATTGGGAGGTCGCTCATTCTCCTCTGCTGCCCCCACAGTCTGAAACACCCTTCCCGCAGCCCACCGTGCTGCCGACTCCCTGCCCCCGTTCAGGCCGAGACTGACGAACCATCCCTCGTCCTCTCTCCGTTCGCGACCGACTGCCTCTCAATCAGAGGTCGCAACCGGGTACCCGATACCCGGCTACCCCTACCCAGCCGGGTACGGGTACCCGTTTGCGACCCTGGTGCGGCCGGGTACGGGTAGGCCGCGAGTCACTGGTGAGTAACTGTTTGTCACTCATTTCCCAACGTCTTGTCTCTTCGCACAATTCAAGTTCCTAGAATCAACCCACCCGCGCCTGCAACATTAATTCATCCCAGAGGTCGCAATCAGGTACCCGATACCCGTACCCGGCCGGGTACAGGTGTAGGGTACGGGTACGGCCGGGTACGGGTACCCGTTTGCGACCCTGGTGCGGCCGGGTACGGGTAAAAAAATCAAAACCCGTTTGCGACCTCTGCTCTCAATACAAAGGAAACATTCCCCGCCCCCCCGTGTCGGGACGGCGCCGGGAGACGCGGTCGCATCGAGACACCGCGATGTTGAATCGCGCTGCGCTGCAGTCGCATCGACGCACGCACGGACCCGCAGGCTCGCGTGAAGACCCACAGGTCGCACCCGAGAAGACCCGAAGCATCTCTCTGTAAAATAATCACGTCCACGGCTCTGCAGATTTTCCCTCGCACACAGACGCAACGTAGATCCCAAAAACTGGCACCTTGTATTGTACCGTTCCGGACATCGCATGCGCAGTTATTAACAATTTATGAACTTGAAAAAAATCGTTACTTTTTAATTATATATATCTATTTCATTTTAATATAAAATGTAAATGTGCGTGGCTCATTAATGATTTACCTCTACAATGTCGAAAGTGATGCATCCACGTTTGCGTGGTGCAGCGTTGGTTCACATCCGCCGAGTTTGCACTTTTTAAGAAGGGACTGATAGAAAAAGAAAATCACTACCATCTCACAGAGCCCACCGTGGAAATCAATATCAAGGGCTCATCTTTTGTTGTTTATTGAATAGTTATCGGGGGGGCCAGTGGTAGGCACAGCGCGTTGCAGGGCTTCGAGGTTCGAATGCGGCAGGCAGCCCTGGTTAATACCAGCTCTGGTTAATGACCACAGCTGTAGTAACCACTTTTAGCTCGGCCATCGAAAAACTGGCGGTCACCGCATCGCACGGCGCTTCCAGACGCGCTTCTTGCGGCCGTCTGGAACGCACCTTCCTCCCAATGTGAGGAAGCCACTGGGAGCCATGCCACTTTTAAACCATCATCATCGAGATTGACAAACTCATTTTTTTTGCGTTTTCAATTGCGGTCCTTCCCCCCGCGCCTCCTGACTAAGCACGTTTGCCTACTTACGGTGCGCGAAAGAACAAGCTGAACGTACTGCCTACGTACGCGTGCACTCGTACAATTCAACGTCATCCGCTTTGCGGTGGACGTCATCAAGATAACCCGTGACATCAACCGAAAAGAGCCGCTTAGAAAAAATTATAAACCACCATTGGAACCTCATTTGCCAGTAAAAAATATGATAATTGTTTTTTTACCCTTCTATCTGGCAACAAAACTGACACCTTTTTTTTACAAGGAGTCATGTTTGCATAGACCACAATACCTGCAGTCATAATGCAAACAAAAAACACAACTCTGATAATGTATGCACTGTCCTTGAAGTTGATTGGTCCACACCCGAGACAGCTTTCCTTAGAGCCTCGTCTCACATGGTGTTGGACCAGATGACGCCAAAAGGTGCACAACTCAAAGACAACGCACCATCAGAGTATGAGAGCTCGGGGTAAGCATTTACACCATTGGAACCTCATTTGCCAGTAAATCAACTTCAAGGACAGTGCATACATTACCAGAGTTATGTTTCTTGTATTGCATTATGACTGCAGGTATTGTGGTCTATGCAAACATGACTCCTTGTAAAAAAAAGGTGTCAGTTATGTTGCCAGATAAAAGGGTCAAAAAACAATTATCAATCTAAACCACGTTAAGAAACGGACTCGATTGGGATCGGCACGCAGTGACCGACGGCCGCACGCGACTAGCGGAGGTGGGGGGGGGGAGCGGGGGGGGGAGAGGGGGGGGGAGCGGAGGGGGGGGAGCGGGGGGGGGAGCGGGGGGGGGGGCCCTCTGTGGCCAGCAGTCGGTGCGAGCGGGCAACTCCGTGCCGGCAACGCGCAAAAATAAAAAACGGACGCTTTAGAGCGGGGGATGAAATTCACTGACCAGTTATGGTCCCCCCTCGTTCGTCTCTCACTGGGGCCGCGAGGGCATTTACTAAACGGCGATAAACACTCAACTCGGGCACAGGAAGAGGGGAGCCCCACCTTCCTTTGCCCGAAATAGCCCCCCCACACACATAGCCCCCCCACACACGCACACCCCTCCCCACGCACACCCCTCCCCACGCACACCCCCCCACCCACACACCCCCCTCCCCACACACACCCCTCCCCACACAAAGACAAAGATCCCCCGTATAGCCTTAACAGACTGTAGGGGCAAGTGTTATTAGCGAGCACCTATGAATGCCGGAACGGTACACGAGGGGGTGGGTGGCCAGCACCACGCCCGACCGCCTTTGTCTCCCGAGCGGCGATGTTTACACACCGCACCAGGTACTCATTTGAGGCTGAGTCGACCTAGGGGAGGCCCAGGACCGGTTCAGATAATCGTCACTGGTGTTGGCCGTGAGCGGGAATCGAACCCGGGTCGCCAAGTTCGTAGTGCAGCGCGCTAACCGCTACACCACCGCTCCCCACACACACCCCTCCCCACACACACCCCTCCCCACACACACCCCTCCCCACACCCCCCCTGGGGTTATGGGAGCACTGAGAATCTGGCTGGGATTGAAACGGGACACAAAGAGAGGGCGCGCGTGCGCCACAGTGTTTGTGGCACGCGATGCATTTGTCGAGTTCCTGAAAGCGAATGCACGGGGGGCGGTCCGTCCATCTTTCCGCCCATCCATCCATCAGTCCTTCCTCCATTTGTTCCTTCCATCAGTCCCATCCTTCCTTCCGTCCATCTCATCCTTCCTTCAAACCTTCCCGTCCATCCCATCCTTCCTTCCGTCCATCTCATCCTTCCTTCAAACCTTTCCGTACGTCCCATCCTTCCTTCCTTCAGTCCGTTTTTTTAATGAATATTAATTTGATAAACGAGCGAGGTCCTGCAAAACGAGTGGCGCGTGCATACGCTTTGTCTGCCGAGCGTCACGTGATCACAACTGACATGCGAGTACTTTGACATACGAGTGCTTTGGATTACAAACACGTTTCCCGGAACGAATTATGCTCGCAATCCAAGGATTTACTGTAGAAACCATTAGCAACATGCAACGAAAACATGCTCTGATAATATCATATACATGGCATTGCCTTTGAAACTGATAGGCCTACACCAGAGACAGCCGTCTCTATGGCTTTGTCTCATCAGTGTCAGACCAGAGAACGCCAAAGGCTGAACAGTACAAGCGCTATGCCACAAGTATCGGAGCAGTTGGCGACGTTTGGGGCAGTGACTCTTCTTCGTAGCCGCGTGATGCAATGACGACAACATATGTAAGATACACGAAGAACGCATTAATTAGATGAACATACGCAGGGTAGAGAAATCATACTGGTGGGAACCTCCTGGTTCCACCAGCCCACAGGGGATTATTGTGTCCGTCCATTGTGCATCCAAAAATGGGAGGGGTGGGGCTGGGTGGAAAGGGGAGGGTGGGGAGGGGCTGCTCACCCCGTGGTGCCCTTATAAACCTCAACGTATAACCTACTCACGCCGGCTTGTGCCCGCCCTCACAGTCGGGCATATTTGCGGAATACACCACGCCGCCGTTGACCCTGGCCATTGACCGAGCAACCCAACGTTCCTACCAGCTCCCTCCGCAGGAACGTGTTAATTGATCGTAAAAAAAAAAAAATCGCTTCTCGCATACTTCCTTATTTTATTGGAATGAGTGCAGTCATTGATATCGCTGTTATCAGTTTTCTATTTCGCCGAGATTGCATCTTTACC